ACACACACACACACACACACACACACACACACACACGGCCTTATACAGAGGAATGTTTTCTTGCTGTGCCCCTTCACTAAAATGACAACTTGAATATTTCTGTTGCCTGCATGTGAAATTCAAATTATAATTAACATTAGTAGGCATATACAAATACGACTTGATCACTGCTTCACAAAAGCAAACAACAAAAAAATAAGTCTCCCATTTTACTAATTTTCCCCCTTTCTTTTGTACCTTGTGGTAAAACTTTAAGGTAGTTTCTTCTGACATTCAGTTCTCGTAGAGATTTCAATTGACCTATCTGCTGGGGCAAGGCTGTGATCTCATTGCAGCTGACGTCCTGTATCAAAAGGAAAGAGAGAAATAATAAATGCCTTTTTCCAGGAAAGCAAGCACATCATGTGAAATCTCCTTAAGGAGATTTAAATAAGAGTACAATTACACAGGTAGACTTTCACATTGTTCTTCAAGTTCCTAGCCAAGTAAAGCTTAGCACAGAGAAGAACAGGAAAGTTCAATGATTTAAACATTCTCTGAGGAGAGGAAAAAGGAAAAAAGGAGGGTGTTGGTAGCATTCAGTAGCTACTTTGCCAGCCTGATGGCCAACAGTTGTCACACGCTGCAATCTTATTTAATTCTCACAGGAAACCCATGAGGCAGTATGACTGACTAGCCTCATGTTTACAGATCAGAAAAGTGAGGCTCAGAAAAGTTCAAGTGCAGAGTTAACACTAGGAATTAATTATCAGCCCACTGTTCAACCACTATCCTATGGAACCTCTAAATAGATGAGAACACATCCTACCTTACAAAACACTCACATTTTATATAGTGAAAAGGTATGAATATGAATGCATTGTTTGAATGCACTATTTATTTATTTATTTTACAGATTTTTTTATTGGGGAACTGGGGGGATGGGAACAGTGCTGGGGAATTGGGGGAAGGGAAACAGACAAGTTGCTGTCCTTTTGTTCTTCAGTCTAGTTGTGGAGGACGTTGNTTTGCCATTTTAATTATGATGTGTCTTGGTGTGGGCCTCTTTGGGTTCACCTTGTTTGGGATCCTCTGCACTTCCTGGACTTTTTTTGTATATTTCCTTTACCAGGTGAGTAAAATTTTCCCTCGTTTCTTCAGATAGGTTTTCAATTCCTTGCTCTCTCTCTTCTCCTTCTGGTACCCCCTATGATGCAAATGTTGTTACACTAGATGTTCTCCCAGAGGTCCCTTAAACTATCTTCACTTGTTGGATTCTTTTTTCTTTATGCTGTTCTGATTGGGTGCTTTCTGCTACCTTATCCTCCAAACCACTGAATCGATCCTCTCTTTCATCTAATCTACTGTTGATTCCCTCTAATGTACTCTTTATTTCAATTATTGGATTCATTTCTGACTGGCTTTTTTTTTATGTTTTCTATCTCCATTTTTATGTTTTCTATTTCTTTGTTGAAATTCTCCCTGACATCATTGCATCCTTATAACCAGTATTTTGAACTCTACGTCTGGTAGGTTGCTTGTCTTCATTTTGTTTAGTTATTTTTCAGAGCTTTGTTCTTTCCTTTCATTTGGGACATTTGTGTGTGTGTGTGTGTGTGTGTGTGTGTGTGTGTGTGTGTGTGTGTGTCTCCCCACTTTGGCTGCCTTCCTGTTTTTGTTTCTATGTATTAGGTAGGGCTGCTGTGTCTCCCAGTCTTAGCAGAGTGGCCTTATGTAGTAGGTGTCCTGTGGAGTTCAATGGTGCGTCTCCCTGGTCACCTGAGCTGAGTAATCCAAGTGTGGCCCTTGTGTGTGTCCTCCTGTTGTAGTTGAGCCTTGGTTGCTGTTTGCACATCAATAGGAGAGATTGACCCTCAGGCTGATTGGTTGTGAGAACTGGCCGTGACTACAGTGGAGAAGCTGTTGTGCAGGGGCTGACCCTACAGCGCAGGATTCACTTTAGGGGGGCTCTGGAGCCTGCCCAAGCTGTCCTTTGGGTGTGTCATTTGTGGAGGTGGTTGGGTGGTGCTCTGGTGTGGTCTGAAGCAGGCCACAGGGTTTGTTGGTTCTGGGGCTTCTTGGGAGGGGCTCTGTTATAGGCCAAGTTCAGCTGCTGCCTATGCCCTGCCCAGGGTCAGTTGGTATAAGGTACAAAGTAATCTAAATATGGTTGCCACTTATACTGCACTTAGAGGTGCCTGGGGGAGGCTAAGCTGTGAGCCAAGGCTGGCTACCACTAGTGCTGGGCTTAGGGCTGCTTAGCAAGAGGTACGGGCCATGCTGAGGCCAGATGCTAGTCGTTTCGGGTCTGTCAACGTTTGACAGATTTTGGGAAAGTCCACAGCATAAGCCAAGACAGGCGATTTGTATAGAAAAGCCATTGGAAGTGGCTTGGGTGGGCCCGCAAGTTGAGCAGGGCAGGGTCTCGGGGAAGCAGGGAGAATGTATGGCATTAGCCAGGTTGATGGAGACTCAGATATGGCGGCCACCTGCATCTGCATGCTGGGAGTGGAGAGGGCTCAGCAAAGAAACAACTGGCTTCCACCAGCTCCTATGTCTTAAAGAAAGCTGCTCCTCCAGCCCTTGCTCTGAAGCCAGACAACTCAGTTCCTCCCCATATGTCCCTGGTACCTTCAAGCTACTACCCCAGTGCTGGAGCTCAGAGTGAGTGAGCCCATCAGTGAGTCAGTCTGCATGCAGGCTCTTTAATAGGATGGCCTAGGATTACAGCTGGGGAGCCCAGTGTGGAGCTGAGACCCCTTGCCCCTCTGTGGGGAACCTGCAGAGCTGAGATAGCCCTTCCGATTCTCAACCACCACATCGGGTGTGGGACCAGCCTAGTCTGCTCTCTGCCCCTCCTACCGGTCTCCATCTGGCTTCTTCTGTACATCCTTAGTTGTAGGACTTCTGTTCAACTAGATTTCAGGTGATTCTCAATGATGGCTGTTCTGCAGTTTAGTTGTAATTCTGATGCGGTCATGGGAGGAAGCTAGCACAGCATTTACTTACTCTGCAGTCTTCACCTGTAAATTTGCTGTTATTAAGAGTTTTCCCTTTGTATTTGCTCAAGCCAAGAAAAATAATTTCAAACACTGAAAAATGGGATTGCACAATGACAAAATGTAAAATCAATAGTTTTATACCAAGTCATCTCAAGTAATGAAGTAAATCTTTATGCTGAGATGGTTTCTAATTCTATTTCTTTAAAATGCTAGTCAGTATGAGAAATGTGACGATTGCAGATACTTAAACTTTCTATCTATAAAGCACAATACATTTTATAAAGTTCTTCCCTTTCATGACCACCATTTTCTTGCCTTGAATAATGAAGCATTTCAAGCCAAAGATCAAGAAGTAGCAACAGAACAATAAAAATCAGGCAGCTCTCAAATATCAGCATGAATGTCAGATTAACCAAATGCTTACTGTTTCCAAATATATGTTTTTGCTCTAAGGTATTTTTTTAAATATATGTTTGAAATCAAATTACGCCTAGTGTCCTTAAAAGAAAACAATGGAAATCAATGTGATCTTTGAAAACCAGAGGATGGGTGGAGAAAAGCAGTCGGTGATCTGCTTATCAACTCATTCCTGATTCAGGTCCAAATGAAAATTCCAAAATATGAAATTCAGGTCCTCTATCATATACAAGGCCAATCATCAAAGTTCTTAACGGTCCAACATTTCTGAATAAATATATCTTTTGACTTGAACTCCAACGCAGTGTATCAAAGAGACACCGTGGAAGCCCTTGGCTCCAGGGCAGGCTTTGTCAGTCTGGCTCCAGGGCTGTTTGATGGGGTCAGTCCTCCTGCTGTTTCAGGGGCACTTTGTCCCAGTGCTGAGGCTCTGGAACCATCATTGCTTCCAACCTTTGAGAAATTCACCAAAACTACCAGTGACATTAGTCCAAGTATCACTCCAGCAGGGGCAGTGCCCTCCCCTGAAAAATAGATTTTTGACATGGTGGTTTCCAACCAGAATTCCCAGATGCCCCAAACTAGAAACCCTGACAGTTGGATCTACGGGACCAGCCATGTCAACTAAACTGTAGGCATGGTGTTCCACAACATCACACATCCATTCCAAAAACAGTTCATGTTCCTCCTGTTATGAGCTGAATTCTGTGCCCCCAAATTCATGTGTTGGGAGTCCTAACCCCCCGTACTTCAGAATCTGACTGTATTTGGAGGTAGGTCTTTAAAGGGGTAATTAAGGTAAAATGAAGTCATTAGGGTGGGCCCTAATCCAATATTACTGGAGTCCTTCTAAGAAGAGATTTGGACAGAGACCCAGAGGGAAGATGATGTGAAGACACAGGGAGAAGATGGCCATCTAAAAGCCAAGGAAAGGGGGCCTCAGAAGACATGAAGCTGGTTGACACCTTAATCTCAGACTTCCAGCCTCCAGAACTGTGAGAAAATAAATTTCTATTGTTCAAGCCACTCAGTCTGTGATACTTTGTTATGAAACCTGAGCAAACTAATACACACACACACACACACACACACACACACACACAC